GGAGTTTTCCATGTTGAGGGGGCGATTAGTAACAATTTATATTTTGGGTGGCGAAAAACAATTTTCTGGGCGATATAGTAAAACAGTATATTAAGCTCTATAAAAAGACATTAACGATTTCAGGTCATGTTGAAACTTCATTCGTCATTAGGATTATACTTGAGAAGTTATTTTTTTAAAATTGTGTAGAAGAGCTGTGGCATAAGTTACATGTTGAGCTGGTCTTTATGTTAAAGTGCAGATGGCATAACACAGTGTTTCTCAACGGGGGCAATATCACCCCCACGTGGGAGTTTTTCCATGTTGAGGGGGCGATTAGTAACAATTTATATTTTGGGTGGCAAAAAACAATTTTCTGGGCGATATAGTAAAACAGTATATTAAAAATGTTACATAATTTTTCACTTCAAATTTAGGAAGTTATTTTTTTAAAATTGTGTAGAAGAGCTGTGGCATAAGTTACATGTTGAGCTGGTCTTTCTGTTAAAGTGCAGATGGCATAACACAGTGTTTCTCAACGGGGGCGATATCACCCCCATGTGGGAGTTTTCCATGTTGAGGGGGCGATTAGTAACAATTTATATTTTGGGTGGCGAAAAACAATTTTCTGGGCGATATAGTAAAACAGTATATTAAGAATAATTAGATATTTTATTTGTTATATCGTACAATAATTAAACAAATAACATTATACTAGTCACTAGTCTATTCAATGCAGTATGAATTTAGCATTAGCCTTGGCATTTGGCATCGGAATTTTGAAGTGAAGGGGGTGATACTACGTAACAGTTTTATTGATGGGGGTAATACTACGTTGAAGGGGGCAACGATTTGTTAGAGGTTGAGAAACACTGGCATAATGTAACACCCAAGTGCATCACCATCCACTACCGGGCCTCTCATTTTATTGAAATTTTCCCCCCTTCCTCTCTTGTCCCAGTTTGTCCAAGTTTCTGTAACCTCCTCCCCTGTTCAGATATACAGCAAAATTTGATCTCCCTTAAAACCTTTATCACTTTATGAATGATAGATATCGTAAGTAGAAATGAAGCACACAAGAAATTTTGAAATAAATAACTGGATGTCCACTGAAGCTCAAGCCCTCCCTCCCTTTCCCTTTGTTTGACTCCTGCCCTTCCAGTGTAGATGTCAGTGGTGCAGCGTGGGTGTCAACTGCCTGGAGCCGAGAAAAATTTCGCCACCCCCTTATTTAGGTACCTCAATTTAAAAGACTAAAATTCAGTTTTGTCACAGAATAAGTAATGAAAAATTCTGTGCTCATTTCAATTGGTCCAAATTGTAGGTGCGACAAAAATATGAAATGAAATGGTTCAAATTTTTACAAGATATTATTATTATTTATTGTGAAATTTTGCCGCCCCCTAAAAATGCCACCCGAGGCAGACCGCCCCTGCTGCCCCCACTGGTGGACGTCATTTATGGACAGCTTCTAACTGGCAATGCAAGAGGGTGTTGTAGGTTCAAGTTTCATTACCCAGCCAATCTTTTCTTCCAGAATATTCTAAATTTAAATTGAAATTTAAAAATTTAAATTTATTATTAGATGGTAGCCTAACCTTTTACCTATATTCAAATTACTTTATATCTAATCATTAAATTCACCTTGTGTGAGACCTGAAAGGTCCCTGGGTCTAAATCAGCAATTTTATTAATAATGTTAATATTTTGTTACAAAATATTACTTCGTTTGGATGAGAAAAATGACGTTTTAGAGTGGGAAAAATAGATAACAGATGTTACTTCCTTTCACAGAAGTTAGTGTATCCTCTGTTTTTCCCTTATCTGCAAAAACTCTCGCTTTGATGGGAAATGCTTACCCCTCACATATCCCCCTTTCCATCCGTTCTCACGGAGGAA